TTTCATGATAAAAGAACACATCAAGCAAAAGGGTACCACTAAAAAACATACCGACCAGGAAGTACAGCTTGATTTGCTTTGTCAAGAAAGTTGTAAAGATCTTGATGCTAAAGCTGGTGCTCATTTATCTTGCTTTGATGTTCCAGACAGAATCACTGGTAGGGTGGGACTGAAGGAATTAGAAGCCATTAATCCTTCAAGAACATGGAACTTTGTGGAAATCAATGTTACACTAGAGGAATTGAAAAAAATGAGACTACAATGCATTAATCACTTAGTTTATCCCCTGGATACAGTCTTGGATGACAGCATTGGCTGTGCAATTTGGTTTGCTTCCAGAGGAGAGGGTTTTATTAGTAACCAGGGAGAGCTGAAACCATATAAAAGTCCTGCAAAGGTACTGTTTGTTTTCTGCCTTATATTTGACCTGTGAATGTAAACAAAGTTATTTTGTTTCAGAAATCAGCAAGGGTGTTTAATATTCATAAGACTTCTGAAATTCAGTGGCAGACTATAGAACAGTTCCATACTGAATCCTTGTGTAACTCAGGAGTTAAAACTGCATTCAGTTCTTTTGTCATGTAATATGTATGTCTTTTTATTAAGCTGGAATAAGCAATAGTGTGAGTAGGAAATGGCATTCATCTCTCAGCTTTGGTGTTTCAACTCCTGTAGTAACTGCTACTCAATCCAAACTGAATAGGTTGACAAATTTAGAGATAAACATTAACAAAGCATTCAGTAATACTGTTTTGTGCCAACATCCCAATGGCTATACAATTACTAGCTTGTTACTTAGGCAGTGACAAAATAATAATAATGGCAGAAAAGGTGACTACTTGGAATCTTTTATAATTGGAGTCTGATTGAGTGATAGAACTACAAAAAAGTAGTTCTTTCTTTTCTGTAACTTATTTTCATCTATGTAGTTTAAAGTAAAATCTTACTAGTAACTAAATTATTTTATGGGGAATTTGATTCTTCTCACTTCCCAATTCCTGGTGGTTTGTGTTGGGAAGAATAAACTGTTTAATTTCAGGAGTTTGCAGTTCCCTGCTGCCTTTGCTTTTTGAGGCTTCAGTCAATTGCTAGATCTTAAAACCCCAGAAAAAAACACCAACAAAAACACCAACAATCACAACAGTTTGTGTAAAAACTACTGTAGAACACGGGTTAGCTGACTGATGTACTGAAGGCTGTGCATCTTAGGTTTACAAAATATACAAATTCATCTGGGGTTCTGAGTATGTTGAAATTGGTTATGAGTTAATAAAACATGAAGCCAAATCGTCATTCTCTCATCAGTTACTTACTGCTGTGCACAGGTCAAAAATGAATTGACCACGAGCTGGTGTCAGATTAGTAAAACACACATGACTGTTTACATTAAGAGACTTTCACTTTTTACAGGAATTGCTGTTGAAGGCACAGTAGTGAACCAGATGTATTAGCGTTTTTCTCCTGATAATACTTTATGTGCTTATTGAATAGACAGAATAAGATGGCAAATTTTTATTCCTTGTAATGCAGTTACTAGTAGCTGGTAAATCAATAATGATTTGGATGTACATTCAGATGAGCATTTAGAACCTACAACATATTGTGTAATCTGCAGCAGCAGGTTTTTTTTTTCCATAAAGGCTGGTGCTTAACATGTGCTGTTCATTGTACTAGAAACTAACAAAGACATTGTTCAAACACACTGGAGTATTTGTGATGGGCACAACATAATTTTGGTGCTTTTTCCTTACCTCAGGAGAAATGTTTGTATGTACTTCTAGGTCTGATTGTGAACCTACTGCAGGTTTCCAGAGACTTTATTGTGAATTTCAGACTTTACTGGGAACTGTTTCAGGCTCTGTAAATGTATAAGGCACATCCCATCATGATAGGTAATATGTTGCGATGATGTGTAAAAGTTATTTTCCTTAAGATAGAGTTAAACTTTTAAAATCTGTTACATATTTTCAGCTTGTGTAGATATTAAGAAAGATTTCTTTTGCTGTTTCCTTAGGTTGTGCTTACAGGAATTGGAGCAGATGAACAGCTTGCTGGGTATTCTCGACATCGTGTTTGCTTCAAAAAATACGGCTTGGAGGGGCTGAATAAAGAACTTGAAATGGAGTTAGATCGCATTTCTTCTAGAAATCTTGGTAGAGATGACAGGATTATTGGTGATCACGGAAAAGAAGCCAGGTATTGTTTTAACATGAAACAAAACTGGTTTTGCTGGTTAGATTCTGCTTTTAACACTCCCAATAAAAAGCTTAATAGACACTTCTCTGCATTTTGTTGTCTCTGAAGTTCTGCTGCAGTTTTGTTCATGTGTACCGTGTTGTGGGATTTATCTGGTTTTGTTTTTTAAAAAGTAGTCTGCAGCACTGCAAAGAGTTACTTAAGGAAATTTAGCAACTTGACCATTCAGTTTCCATCTGGAAGTTTTAAAAAGCAGCAACGGGAGTTGAAATAGTAAAAATTAAGTTTGTTTTATAATTTTAAGTGGAACAGTCCTCTGTGAAGTGTTCTCGTATGGTCATTTGGGGAGTGACTTTGGAGAATGACAGCATAACAAAAGGCATGTATTCCTGTCCATGCAATAAAGGCATGATCAATATCCACTGCATTTCCTAGTGATTAAGTCAAAATAGCTGAAAAAAAACTTTGTGGGGTTTTTTCCCCCATGGTACTACTGACTTGCAAAAATTTCCTTGGGTGATGTCCGGTATTAGAGGCTGCTACTGAAAGACATGTCTTTCCATGTGGTCTTTGTGCCATTGATTTTCCAAATCTGTTCTTACTTACACATTTTCAGTTCAGCAGTTGCAGAGGTGGACAGGCTATGGTGTTAATCACACTTGTGATTAGATATGAATGCATGGAATTTGGAATGTCATCAGACTGTGTTGTGTATTTTTGTTTCCAAGTCACATGGTAGTTTCATACAGCATTTTTAAATACTTAGAAGTGACCTTGAAAAGTGTCACTTTAAAATTTGTCTTGCTCTTCCACTGTATTTTCTGATTTTCTTCGTAACTTTTGTTTTGTATAAACCAGACATTTCTGATGCTTGTTCTTACTTTTTTCTTTGCTTGAGTTTTGAAAGCATGATATATTATGTTTTCTTTCTCCAAGACTGGAAATGTTTTGGAGACCAGCCTCAGTACTGTAAAACTGACAAGTAAGGTGCATCTGTATCAGGAATTGACCAAACTGAAGTAGTAAAGTATGTAGTAAAGGTGAAAATTAAGACTATTTATTTGAAGGGTCTTTCCTCATGTATATCTTTCCTTCAGGTTTCCTTTTCTTGACGAAGAGGTTGTTTCATTCCTCAATTCTCTGCCCATCTCAGAAAAAGCTGACTTGACTTTACCTCGAGGAATTGGTGAGAAACTGATCCTGCGCCTTGCTGCCAAGGAGTTGGGTCTTGCAGCATCCACCGTTTTGCCAAAAAGGGCTGTACAGTTTGGATCTCGGATTGCAAAACTAGAGAGCAAGAGTGAAAAAGCATCTGACACATGCAGCAGACTGAAGTCATTTTCAGTAGACAAACTATAAAGCTACACCTTGATGTTGCATTTATTCTGTTTGCAAATTCAGTAAATCTTTGGGGTTTTCTTAGGATGCTTGGTCTCAGTTTTTTTTACAAAGTTGGTCATTATTAATAATCCTCGAAGTAATACATGTACATGTGTTCTCAAAGTAGACACTCACTGTGAATGCATCCTTGGGAGAGGAGGGAGCAGTGGGCTCTGGGGAAGAGAGAACAGCCAGAGATTGGCTTTTCCACCCTTCTTCAATGTCACAAAAAGTATATTAAATCTGTCACATACACAGAATTCAGTACAGTAGAAGAGGGCTGGTTTTGCATCTGTGCTTAAGAGAGGGTTCAGGTTGTTTATGCAGTTAGAATGGAGGGCACCATGAAGAGCTGGCCTGGATTGTCAGAGCCAGAAAGAGCAGAGGGTCTCAGGCCTTGTTGCCTATTGGAGATCTGCCCTCCAAGCATCATGTTTGCCCTTTCGTTACTTGAGCAGCAGACACCTGCACACACCCTGGGGGTTTTGGGGCTGTGCTGTGCAGCCTCCAGTTCTGCAGGCCTGGGTTGGTTGGTGGTCCCCAGACTGGGCTTCCCTCTGCTCCCAGGGAAACTGGGAAGCTCCCTGCAGCCTGTTCTTTGTCCCTCATTAGCTCTTCCCCTAGCTTGCTTCCCCTCACTTTTGCATTAGCTCTGCTACTTTTACTTCTGTAGTTGCAAAGCATCCACTGCATATATCAACAAAGATCACTTCTAATCTACCTCATTATTCCTGGTGGCTCTTTTACTGATTTTTTTGTTGTTTTGGGTTTTTTTTCACCCATAGACTTCCTTATTTCTAAGTAGGTTTTCAGAAGCATTAGCAGCTGCTTTTAAAACTGTATAAGCTACAATTTCACCACTTCCTTTTGTGCTTTCAATTTTCAGCCATAAACAAAAAAACTTGTACAGATGGAAACATTGAAGCAAACCTGTCAAGACTTTGTGTGCTGTATTATCACTGTTCATTAATTCATTATTTTTTTTTAAAAATAACCATTTTTGCTATGGAAACTCTCAAACTCTCCTGCTCGCTTTCTCTAACTTTTCTGTCATAGGAGGTGTGTTGTTTGGTTTTTTTTAGATTTAGTGTAAATTATAAACCTTACATTAATTATATATTGTTAAATTATAATATGGTACTATAAATATATAAGCTTATTATAAATTGAAAGTGTAAACATTGGAGACACTGATTTTTATAAATTTTTTTTTATTAAACAGTGCAATATTATTATTTAATACCTAGAAATCTTAGACATTTGTGGAACAGTAACTGGAATAATTTTAGTGATATCATACAGCATTTTTTTCTCTGACATGATTTTTCAAAACTTGCGAGCCCTGTATTGTCAGTAAGTGTAACAGCACTGAAAGAGTTATTAGTGAACCATTTATAGTGGCATTCACTTTACTACATTGCTTTTTAAGGTGCCAACCATCGAATCTTCTTTTTTAGTTTTGGCACTCTGATGGAATCTTCTTCAACTCTCTTTGAAATATCAATTCCAAGGGGAGCTCTAGAAAATAAAAATGATGCCTTTTAAAAAAAATAAATAACTGCTGTATCACAGATATGCTGATTCACAAACCCTTCTTTACACTGAGCGGGGGAGTCAGTATTTTTCCATCTGAAGCTGTACCTAGAAACATCTTCACATTGAGGAAATGTTTGCATAGTTATGATTCCAAAGTCATCTTTTGGGCTTGTTGTTTTACTTAGATTAGTTGACAATCCATTTTACTTCTCACTGATGAATGCAAGACACACTAGAGATTCACAGGTATTGAAGAATGTATAGTCTAGTTAGCATTTTATTCACTGAGACACATCAAGCAAGTTATTTTTGAAGGAGAGTTATTTTTCTCATTTTTCATGTGGAAAAGTCTGTTTTCCTGGAAGTGGAAAGGGGAAAAACCTGAAAAATATTTCAAGTTTAAGACCAGCACATACTTGTGAAATAACTACAACTTACTTTGGCCTTGAGCCTAGGATGTACTTAAATCCAAAGAACATGTCTTACCTAACAAGTCATTTAAAAAAATCAGTATTTATCAGTAAAAACAAACAATCAAATGTTTTATGTCAAATTCTTTTTTTAAATTGATTGCTCGTTACGGATAGAGAGTTCAACTTCGACCATTTTGACTTATGTCTCCAGTAACTGAGAAGCTAGGGGCAGTGTACTACAACTTAACTTGCTCCAGTTTTCTCATACCTCAATGGTAACAGGAAAATACATAGAACTGTTATGATGTATGGTAATTGAAGTTTGTGACCCAAAACAAACAAACGCCAGACACCTTATCTGTGTTTGACAACTACACTGAAAAGGAAGTGCTAGTAACTTTTAAAGCTCCTGTGTCCTGCAAAAACACTCCTCATCAGCTTCTGCTACTCTTGTGAGTCTGCAGCTCCTTCCACTGTCACTGACAGTGGTGACTAAGTGAAGAAACAGACTCGTGAACAAGATGAGTCACTCACTTTGGTTGATAGCGGATGCCGTCAGTGTCACGTAAAACGCCAACTCCTGCACGTAACCTCTCAATGCCATTCCTAAGCAAGAAAGCAATCATGTAAAATCCCATGTCATAACCATCTGAATACCAGTATGTGCTTCAGTGACCATAAGCAAAAGTACTTTACTCTGATGTCAACTTTTGCAGAACACTGTAGAAACACATGAAAGAGAAACAAGTCTTACCATGCGATCATCACACCATTATCAGTACACAGTCTTGGAGGAGGACACAGAAAAGCAAAATCATTTACATCTGCCAAAGCCTGCAGACCTCTTCGGATATACTGATTGCTTGCAACTCCTCCCGATACAACCTGCAAGCAGTTTCAAAAGAAAAAAAGGTAAAAGTACTGATGAGTCTCGCTGAAGCCTATTTACAAAGGTATCAGATGAAGTTCTGAATACAGCAGTAAATTTAACATCCTATTTACAAAGGTTATCAGATGAAGTTCTGAATACAGCAGTAAATAATGTGTTCAAAGATTAAAATATATATTTGAAGATGAAAACGTATCAGAAAAGACCATTCTAAGTGAGCTTATTTTGTTAGAAGAGATTCTGGAAGGGAAGCATGTTCTAACTACAACAGCTGTCAAGTACTGGGGAGCACTAGGTCAAATTATGTGGCCTAAATTGTTGTAGAAAGTCAGATTAGATGGTAAGAAAACTCTTTAAACCAAACTATGAGAGACTTTATTGTAAATAGTAATAAAACTGTTAAAATACCAGGATTATTGTAATAATTTAATTCATGCTGACATGCTCACCTGTTAAGGGAGCAAGTACAAGGCACCTGCATCTTGAAATGGTGTTATACAATCAAATTTTAAAAGGAAAACAATAATGTGTACCCACCAAAGTTGCACTTTTGGATGGCAATATGCCATTTTTTATGCAGAACAGCATGGCTCGATATGTCCTCTGGATGATGTGCACAGCCACTGCATGCTGCGCAGCAGCAGCAATGTCCTGAGCACAGGACAGGATCTCCCCTTCTTCAATACCTACAAAAACGTATCATCACGTGGGCCTTCGTGAGGTAGTGTCAAAAATACAGTTTCTACCTGACTTTGTTTAAAAATACCTTCTTCTCGCTCTTTTTGCACGATGGCTTTATTGACAAGGTTCTGCAGGCCAGAGAAAGAGAAAAGGCAGTTGCGATGCTGCTGCATGGGAAGCGGGAAGGAGAGCTGCTGCCAGCTGCCCCCCCGAGCCAGGTGCTCGATGGCCTTCCCCCCAGCCATGCTCTGGCACTCCGGGTGCTTCCTCAGAGAGAGTCGTCTTGCTACCTAAGGGGGGGATAAACCACAGACTTGGAATGGAGAGTGAAATTCATGCCTCCTGTAACTGCATCGCTTTCTTGTAGCCCATGGAGTATAATTAGACACCACCAAATCCGATCCAATGTGCAGTTATGAAGAGGGCATAATAAGAACAAGACATAGGCTGCCTGGATTTTTTTTCCTCTCTTTTTGTTTTTTTTCTGGAGTAAGTAGAATGGAATTCTGGAACAATCTGGGCAAACAGATTTTGCAGGGTTGGTTAATTACCCAGTTTTTCTGCTATAGGAAACACACGCAGACTGCCATACTGCATTACCAGATAAACAGGAGCAAAGCTGGTTTTAACTTTCAACAAAATCCCCTTCCTGACTCCACTCACTTCCCCACTGTGTTATTTAACACATGCAAACACTGTTTAAAAATTCTGCTTGTGTGTAAGAACAAAGCTCTTAAGTGATGAATTTTACAGAAAGTACTCATTGACCCAGAAAACTTAAGATTCTCAAAGCCAAATGAGGCTTTTCAAACTATAAAAAACAATAATGGTAAGAAATGTTTTAGTACGTATTGTTTTAAACCTGACAGCATCCTTTAAAATATCACTCTCAGTCTTCTCAAATTCCTGGGTGTCAATGAAACACCAGTCTTGGTTATGTTGTCCATTTGCTAAAAATACAATTATGTTACATATGTTACAACAGATGCTATGCACAGGTTTTTAACAGCCTCGTGTCTTAAATTTATTTAAGAATGCAAAAAAAAGTGAAGTAGAGCTCAGATTGCACTGTTCTCAGGCTGGTAATACTACCATTATTGTAGTGTAACTGCAATAAAAGTAAAAAAAATAAAGAGATTAACTTATGTAAGAAAATATTACCTTATCCAGCATGTCACCTGGTGCTATATCTATGGACTGTCCAAGCAGAAGGAAATCTGAAACTCCCTGAGCTACTGCCAAGATGCAGTGGCCTCCAGACAGCAGAAGAACTAAGAAGGGAAATTCCAGGTGCTGTGTCAGCCTGACGGTCAGTGCGTGAGCCTCCATGTGGTGAATGGGAATGAAGGGCTTCTGGTACCTGCTCACCAAGTTCAAGCTGTACTGCAGCCCCACCTCCAGGCTCAGGGCAAGACCTGGTTTAACTGTAGTTGCAATAGCTGCAAGTTGATGCACAGAAACTCCACTGACACTAAGAGCCTCTTCTACGACTTGCTTGATGTTTTCTCTGTGCAGTTGCTGTGCCACCACAGGAATTATTCCACCTGCTCTAATAAAAACAAACAATTACAATATATTTTTATTTCCTGACAGACAGAAAGGCATACAAATAGATTTTGAACACCTCTTAACCTCGCCATATCCTCAGCACATTTTTAAATGCTGTGTAAAGGGCATCTGTACACTGAAGAGAGCTGAATTATCACTGTGAAGTCAGAAAAGCATTTATCAGGCCTTTTTTTGGTACACATACTTCTTAAATGCATCTGAACACTGCTCCAAAACAATGTCTGTAACTTAATATTCAGAGTGCCTCACTTGCCAGTTCATGTACTTGGCCAACAATGCCTGTAATTTTCCCTTAAAATAATTCAGACATCAGGTGGTTTTGCCAGTAAAAAATATTTCATCTTTAATTCAACCTAGGTAAGTAATCTGCCTCTTTTTTTAAAGGAAATACTGGAGAAAATGCATTTTTTAAAGAAAGTAGTTAAACGTACAGCATTTCTTTCTTTGCCCTTAGTAGTTATCTCCAGCAGAATGTGGTGTTGCCCAAAAGACAGGCCTTTACACCCACCCACTCCTTAACGAGTTTTCTGGAGACAAGACTTTTATACAGATACTATAACAAAATAATCACGACTAAGGTGAAAGCCCTGAGAGAAGGATATTCTTACTGTAAGTGGATTTCCTTCTGACAGTGCAGTGCTTCTCCCAGAACACGGCCAGCATCGTCCACCACAGCAGCCCCTGTGTCATCACAGCTCGTCTCTATCCCCAGAACCAGTTTCCCAAGGTGCTGTTTCCCAGAGCGAGCAGGGCTGCTCCTCAGCCACGCTGTCTGCCTGTGCCTCACTGATTTCAGAAGCCTTCTGGCCATGCTGTTCATGGCTTAAAATCCACCGGGTAGTTGCAGCTAAAAAAGAACTGTACGGTTTATTATTACTGGAGGGTTTTTAAGCACATGCTCTGGTTAGATCTCCTGAAGGGGGGGGCATTACGTTTAAAGGTATGAATGACCACATGTCCTTACAAGAGGAAATGGCCTCAAGTTGTGCCAGGGGAGGGTTAGGTTGGGCGTTAGGAAACATTCCTTCACTGCAGGGTTGCCAGGCACTGGAACAGGCCGCTCAGGGCCGCGGGGAGCCCCGGCCCGGAGGGATTCAGGGGAGCAGACGCGGTGTGAGGGACACGGTTTAGCGGTGGATTTGGCAGCGCTGGCTCAACGGCTGGACTCGATGATCTTAGGGGTGTTTTCCAACCCAAAGGATCCCATGATTCTACGACATTTAACGCTATAAGAAAAACCCCAAAACTCCAGCGCTGGGAGCTGTTTTACCTCACGCTGTAGGGCAGCCCCTCAGCCCCGCTCGCTCC